TCAGACAGACACCAAGACTCAGAACGTCAAATAATAGAAAGTTGACTCCGATATCTAATTTAATCAAGGATTTGCAGTTCCTGTTCTACATCTCAATTTGAATGTAATATGCTTTTTCTGCTCAGACTTGAGCACAAAACATGAGATATGTACAGTTTTATTAAAACCATGCAACATGTAAATGTTTGGTATAGAAATGCAAAGTTTGAAGCACAAGGCCGCAGGACATTTCTGCTTAAAGAAGCAAAACACTGCAGTTAATAAGTGACGCACTGGAACGGCCGGCCTAACATGTTTGTATGAGAGAAAGAGTACAGTGAATTTTATCTCATTTAAAACATGCACAAGCCTATGCAGTCTCTGCCAGTTCCTCAATGCCGACAGAAAAGACATTCATGAAAAGAGTCGGAGAGAAGGAAACAGGAAGAGGAAGCGTTTGGGATAGAAAGCACACAGCCTGCAGCAATCTCAGGATGCTAATGGAGACAGAGTACACTAGCAGATTTATTCATGTACACTGCCCTGGAAGAGAGAGACAGTCTGCTGTGAGAAAGACATGAGTCTATCACATATCACATATTGTGTACAGGTTTCTTCCTAACAAAGTCGACCATGTATGCAATATGTATTAATAATGGCCTGACGATATATAAACCCTGCTTCGTGAATTATTTCCAACATGACTTTAGACTCTTGGTTGACTCATAACATCGCTCTACTCTGGTGTTTTTGAGGTTTGATGGAAGTGTTCCTGCACACTCTCTGTGTCAGCAGATTAGGATCTATATCACAGTAGGGCTGTGTGATATATTTTTCTGAGATTTTGTTGATACAGATTATTGGACAGTATTTAGCTGAGTGTGTTTTTGTGCTGGTATCTTGGCTGGTTTTAGGCCTGTCGTGGACAGCTGACTCCCAAAGATCTTCTTCATATTCTGTGCAGTGGTCAATTCCCCACAGTGATTTTTTTTATTTTAATTAAGGGGCGATATTTGCCCCCTTTAATTGATTTCCAGGGCAATTTTTACCTTTATAAGTGCATTTATGCATGCACCATCTTTTCTATCAAATTCTTACATTTAATGAATAAATTCAGTTAGAATAATAAGACCTGATCCGTTACCAATCAAATAAAAATCAGTATTAACAAAAGATGCATTTACACCAACTGTTAAATGCAGCTCAGAGGTGGCATTAATAGGATCATATGCATTTTATTTTTCCCTATTCAGTGTTCTCCATTTTCACATTTTCTATTTCAGTAAACTCTTATTATTAGTACTGTTAGAGAAGTAATTGCAACTAGGGCTGCACGATTAATCAAATGCGATTGTCATGCACATTTTGATGGTAATGCCGGTTCTGTAATCAGCAGGAAATCATCATCACGTGCTTTCAGATGGAGCAGCATTTACTACACATAGCCGTAGTTCACTGACAAGTTACGCAAAAAAAATCGCAGACGATTTTATTGCACGATTATGAAACTGAAGAAATCGTTCGCGATAATGATCGCATGACAATCGCAGCTTCTGTCGAATCGCGATCTCGATTTCATTTCGATTTATCGTGCAGCCCTACTGTCTGGTATGTTAACTGCTCTGCTTTAGACAAAAGAGCTCTGCTGTGGGTAGTGAAAATAGCTCAGCTCATCACTAGAACCAGATTTCCAGCTTTTAAGAATTAAACATTATCAGTCCATCTCTTGTTAGTTTCATACCCCTACCATCTGGAGAAAGCTTGAAAGCTTGACTCCAAAACCAGTAGACTTGCAGCAAGGGTTAGCTCTGACAATCAACAAATGGACTGTCCACCCCTCTCAATGCAGAAATGCAACCCATAATTCCGACTCTGCTTGTTATTGTTCTCAGCACAATCCTTGCCGCATTACAGTCGTTTTATGAGCACTAGACTCTACGTTTACATCTTGCAATTCAAGTCTATCTGGCATTGTCTGCACTATGTTTTACACCATTTTTTTTAGCTTTTATATAGTACTCTGGGTACATATTGCTAACCACTTATTGCATTTTTCTTGTAATTACAGTTCACTGTGTGGCCTTGGGCCACCACACATTATCATAAACTGTTATATAAATTTTGCTGTGGTTTCAAAGGACATGTATTTTATTCTTTTTCTTGCACTTGGCTGATAATAAAGAAAGTGATAAAAAACTTCACATGACCTGACTTGAACAAGTGTTGTTTCTGAATTTCATCATGAGAAATAATAAAGCGCCTCCCTAAGATGTACACAACCAGTAGATAAGTATCGGCAAAACAAGCAGCAGACAAACCACAATGTCACAATTACCTGTGTCTGTGAGAACTAGCATCATCAAAAATTTTAAAGTATAACAGTTTATTTAAAGGGTTAGTTCACCCAAAAATGAAAATTAGCCTGTGTTTTACTCACCCTCGAAGCATCCTAGGTGTATGTGACTTTCTTCTTTCAGACGAATCCAATCGGAGTTATATTAAAAATTGTCCTGGCCCCTCCAAGTCTTACAGCGAATCCATGTGTTTTTGTAAGATAAATATCCATATTTCAAACGTAATAAACCCTTTTTTCTCACTTCCGCTGACTGTCGTACGTGCAAGCCGTTCCGGCAGATGACGTAGGACGTCGGCGTTGCGTGATTAGAGATGAGCGCAGAGAGAGAACAAAACATCCAGTCCAATTGGTGGCGGTAATACACCATAAATTGGTGTATTAGTTCAGCGCTAGCTGAAGCATGGGCTCTGATTCTCTGGGGTGGGTTGGGGCATTACAATTTGTTTTCTTGATATCAATACAGATTCATCACCCATGTGCGCAAGATATACAGTAGGTGGTGGTAATACTCCTAAGGAGTGAACGGCCATTGGAAAAAAAGAAGAAGAAGAAGACGCCTACATCCTACGTCATCTGTCTGCATGTCTTCTGCGTTCCACAGTCAGCAGAAGTGAAAGAAAAGTGTTTATTACGTTTGAAATATGGATATTTATCTTACAAAAACGCATGAATACACTACAGGAGGACTTTATTCACCCCCCGGAGCCGTGTGAGGGACGTTTTATTACGGATGCGCGCACTGTATTTCACGTCTTCTAAACTGTTGACAACAAACACCTGCTTACCCCCATTGTAAGGCTTGGAGGGGCCAGGACAATTTTTAATATAACTCCAATTGGATTCGTCTGAAAGAAGAAAGTCACATACACCTAGGATGCTTCAAGTGCGAGTAAAACACAGGCTAATTTTCATTTTTGGGTGAACTAACCCTTTAACAAAGCCTCAAGCCCATCTTGATTATTTAAAGGGGTGGTTCACTGTTTTTTTTTCTAGGCTTGATCATGTTTATGGGGTGCAGTCTAACATGTGTTAATGCTTCATTCAAAAAAAAAAAAAACGCATTATTTTTCACATAATTTACCTTTATTCCACACCGCTCTGTCCCTTCTCT